ATCCACAAACTTTACCAACTTACTAATTATACCACATCAACATAATTAATGTGAATAAAAAAATCAAGCACTGATCTCTTGAGACACTCCACTGGTAACAAGAATCCAGTTTGACAGGCTTCCATTAATAACAACTTCTTGCTTTCTTTTATCAAACCTTTCTTCAATCAATTGACTATTCCTTCCCCAACTTCTCCTGATGTGATTTTCTTAGATAAATCTTTTATGTGCCATTGCACCAAAAGCTTCTTTAAAATCTAAGTACACAAAGTCCACACCTTTTCCTTCATTGAGATAACAAGTAACATCTTTAAAAAAAATTAATTACTAATGCAAGACTTCTCTTTAGTGAATCCAGGTAGACTTTATTCTGTGATCTAATTTCACTAGATGATTTTGCAAAGCTTTTTCTACCAGACTCTTCAGAATTTTTTCCATTACAATAGTAACATTACCTGGTTTATAATTTCCAAGAATACTCAAATCAACTCCTCAGGCACCTGCCCACTGTCTAGTGGCCTACTAAAAATGAAATAGAGGACTCGTATATATGAACTCTGCCTTACTTTAAAATCCAGTTTGTCTAATTCTGATCATATCTTTACCACCAAAGGATTAATATTTACACGATTCAGGTCAATCCTGATATTTTCCATAGAATATTTCTTGTAGAAACATAAAGAAGAAAGCATTTAAAAGCTCAGTACTTTCATAGCCTTCAGCAAAAACTTTGCATCAGTCTTCTTTAAGTGCCCGATCCCAATTTTAACATTTTGTCTATCTTTAACAAACTTAAAAAATACTGTTAGTTTTAAACTTAATATTATCAGCCAGCTCTTTCTCATAAACCCCTTTTGGTTTCTTAATGTCTTTTTTAACCAAATCTATAGCTTATCTATAGCTCTGTAAATCTTCTGTTAATTTAAACTTCTTAAATTCATCATATTTCATCTTCGCTTAATTTTTATGCTTAATTTCTTTATTTAGGTGCAGTCACCAAGACTATCAAAGGTCTTTTGAATACATGAAACATTTTCAATAGAATTAACCCTTCCCAGCACCATGGATTCTAAGTACCAACAATGAATTTGGAAATATTAATGTAATCATTGGCAAAAAAAATGTGCAACTGGGGTCCCATAACAAACTTTCAACTTAAAGTAAAAACATTCTAATCTATTAAGCTATTTTTTAACTTTTTTACCACCAATCTTATAATTTACATTATAATCAATGTAACTGAAATTATACTAGCATTAACCACGTGAAATCCTTCTTTTCCCCAGTTTATGGAATCCTAAGAAACATTAACATTTGCAAATATAAATAAAAGATGTCCATAACTAAAAATAATTACGATTTCTATACATACAGTATGATTATGAAATGTAAAATGGCAAGTTCTTTTGGCAAATGCATTATAACTAATGTCAATTTGTAGTGTAAATTTTGATGTTATATATATTTCAGCTACTATTTTAGAATTAAAATTAATTTATCCTTGATAAAAAGTACTACTACTGGTAGTATATTACCAATTTAACTTAAATTTAAAAACTTTTAAGTTATAATTAGTTATGTATAACTTCAGTTTTTACATCTTACGTCATTCAAATATTATGTTATAATAATAATTAAAATTTAAATACTATTACGTGCCTAGTAGTAGTGATCATAATATTTTAGTTTCTCTTGCAATTTAGCGACAATGTCAATGATACTAGACGTCTCTCATTATTAATTTCTAAAGTTCATTGGTTCACCAGAAGTTAATATTTGCTAGTGCTATTAAATCGAACACGAATTTGACAAATTGCACTTCCAGTCAGTGACCTGCATTGCATATCATTAAAAAATTAAAAGTTAAAACGGCGTTACTTCCGCACCTTAAGCCTAACAATGACATATACTTAACGAGATATGCAAACTTGTTTAGAAACTTACCAACTTCAATTAAATAGCGTGGAACTGGAAATCATTATCTATATATCAATTTAAGTTCGCAAACAGCCCACCGAGCTCTACCACTAAACCAGCAGATTTTCCGATATTCCTAATAGAAATAACAAAGGATACTAAGCCTAATAAACAGTACAGCAATATCCGAAAGGTAACATCACGGAAGTCAAAAGCATATAGAACTCTTTTAGTTACAGAGGTGGTTAGCTGGCGGGAAAAAAGTAATTGAGGACAATAGATGAGTGTTTTTCATAAACGTTGATAGAATTCTTTCAGCTGTAATATATAACATTTTATTTGATAAAAATGTTTAACTAATTTTATCTAGATAAACCTACGTGGCTCGGTATCATTCATTTGGTTCTTAAACTCGAAATTTGTATTTATTTATCTTTCCAAGTGTCAGTGTTAGTCTAATAACTACTGCGGCATATCTTAACCAGCTAAAATTGCAGAAATGTAACTATTCATATTATGTAGATTATAAAATTGAGGATGAAGAAATGGTCTTGGTATATTAGCAAATGAAACAATCTTGATTTATAATGAAATTGGTAATAACATACTTAACTTCATTATTTTTGTAATTTTAGTTATAATTATAACAATTTATACGTGAAAGTTTATTTGT